GAAATAATAAAGAATGAACTGAGAATAAGTCTTGCCAACAAGTGCCACTTTCGACTGATTAGGCAATTTAGAAGTAAAGGGCCTCTCGTCGGACAAAGATCACACTCTGTAAGTCGCTCAACATGCCTGTGCTGCTGTATGGCGCGGAGGCATGGACAATGAAATCATCTGACGTAGCGGCTCCTGGAGTTGTCGAGAGAAAAATTATGCGAAAGATTAACGGACCTTTACTCGTTAGCGATGGCGAATATCGCAGCCGATTTAAAGATGAGCTGTATAAGCTTAAGACGATATATATATAGTTCAGCGAATTAAAATTCAGCGGCTCCGCTGGTTTCGCTATGTCGTTCGCGTTGGAAAGACCAGGTGGAGAAAGACTTAGCTTTAATTGGCATTTCCAATTGGCGTCAGTTGGCACAGAAGCGAAATGACTGGCGTGCCATTTTGGACTCGGCCAAAATCGCTTAGGCGGTTACATCGCCAATAAAGAAGAATAATGAAGAAGAAGTTACCAATGTATAAAGAATTGCGATTGCAAGAAAAGGTAAAAATTTTTGGTACGAGTAATAAACTTTTTCGTTTACAAAATGTTCGGTGCATGCAGAATTGACCTGTAAATACGAGTATAAAAGTTNTTGATAAAAATTCCACGCCTATGGGATGTGCCACGCCCCCTTCCAAAACTCATTTATATATACCCTCTTATAAGCACCTACCAATTATATGTCTGTATACCAAGTTTCAAGGTCATGTGACTTATGGTTCCGAAGTTATGGTTGATTAAATATTTCACGCCTGTGGGAGGTGCCACGCCCCCTTGTAGGATCCCAATTTTTTCACCTTATCATAGGCCCAGGAGTCATGGCAATACTCTGTCAAAATTTTGTTCGATTCTGTCCGTCCGTTTAGGCTGCAACGTGGCACATACATACATACTTCCACAAATATATAGTAGAAGATTCGCGAAACCAAGGGCCAAATATAGTAAAACTGCGTTTTTAGTTTTTCACTCTGACGTCAGAAATTCAAAAATGATTCAAAAAATTCAGAGAAATGTGCTTAGATCAGAAGTATGGTTATCAAATTAAAGAGGAAATCCTGAAGAATTTAAACAGATTCAAGTTTTTGGTGCAGAAGGACTTGATAGTAATTAAAATGTCCTTTTAAAATTTTAGAGTTGAAATTTCGCAATATTTGCTTACGAAAAAATTATAAGTTAAGGACTTACATGAACTCGATAACATTCTCGCACTTCATCCTTTTACTTATATCACTTTAAAAAGTTACCTACTTTTCTTTGTGAATCCAAAAAATATTTTTTGTTTTTAATTCTAAAGAAATTTCCTCTTCAATGTGGTACCTAAATTTTTATTCTACATTGCATAATTTTTTTTTTAATAATTTTTAGAATCAATCATATCCTGGAAATTACAAAGTCCTTTAAAATATATCCTGACCTTACAGAGAAAAAATAAAAATCCCACTGAAAATAAAAAAGTAGGTTTCGAACCCTTTTATTTATTATTTATTTTATGGTAGGAGAGCTTCTCAAACAATATAGAAGCAATTTTTTCGATTTAAGTTCTTGAAAAGTAATGAATATTTTAATCCCGGGACTAATCCCGGGATCCCGGGATTGTGGTAACGACATCCCGAAAATCCCTGGATTGGGAAAACTGAAAAATTAACATCCCTAGTATAGATGGAGCAAACGTTATGGTTCGCAGAAACGAAGGTTTTGTCGGAAAACTAATAAAACATAACATTGAAGTTCACTCCATTCATTGAATAATTCACCAATTCTCTCTTGCTTTTAATTTTTCAAATAAGCATTCCGCCATGACTGCTGAGCAAATAATTAATAAAATAAAAGGAGGTCATCACCTACTTAGCCAGAGGAAATTTATGACGTTTTTGAAAAGCACCAAGGCCGGTTATTGTGACCTCAAAATGTTCACGGAAGTTCGGTGGCTGAAAAACAAGCGCTACGTCTGTTCTGCCTTCCCAGGGTGGGATAGGGAAGCAAAGCGAATGAGTCTAGTGGTGAATGAGGAAAAAAATTTTCTCCTGTCATCACATAAACGTCAGATCATATGCGTTTTGGCACACACATCACTGTTGACAATGAGAAGTTTGAAAAAGTAGACGACTTCGTTTATTTGGGAACCAGCATTAACACCAATAATAATAGGTGTATTTGCGTATTCTTCCAGCAGAAAACTCTCGGCAGCAAAATTCGAATGAATTTTTATCGGATCTCTCTCTAAGGGAGGAATGTTGGCAAAAGTACGCGAACGCAAAACCAGCAAAAACTTGCTAGTTTTTAGTACAGCTGATCGAAATCTTTTTTACATACAAAAGCATAAAACAGAAAACATGAAAAGAATATTAATTAAAAGTTTTCCTAATGACTCCCAGATGACTTTGATCAGCTGTTTTTGTTCTGGCAAATGGCTGCTGGCAAAAATTTCTCCAGCAGAAACTAGCAGCTTTTCATCAGAATGAAATGTCAATTTGGTTTCTCAATTTTCCCTACGTTGCTGGATTTTTGTGTACGCGAACAATATGCGATTAAACCTAATGTCAGCCTTGAAATAATAAAGAATGAACTGAGAATAAGTCTTGCCAACAAGTGCCACTTTCGACTGATTAGGCAATTTAGAAGTAAAGGGCCTCTCGTCGGACAAAGATCACACTCTGTAAGTCGCTCAACATGCCTGTGCTGCTGTATGGCGCGGAGGCATGGACAATGAAATCATCTGACGTAGCGGCTCCTGGAGTTGTCGAGAGAAAAATTATGCGAAAGATTAACGGACCTTTACTCGTTAGCGATGGCGAATATCGCAGCCGATTTAAAGATGAGCTGTATAAGCTTAAGACGATATATATATAGTTCAGCGAATTAAAATTCAGCGGCTCCGCTGGTTTCGCTATGTCGTTCGCGTTGGAAAGACCAGGTGGAGAAAGACTTAGCTTTAATTGGCATTTCCAATTGGCGTCAGTTGGCACAGAAGCGAAATGACTGGCGTGCCATTTTGGACTCGGCCAAAATCGCTTAGGCGGTTACATCGCCAATAAAGAAGAATAATGAAGAAGAAGTTACCAATGTATAAAGAATTGCGATTGCAAGAAAAGGTAAAAATTTTTGGTACGAGTAATAAACTTTTTCGTTTACAAAATGTTCGGTGCATGCAGAATTGACCTGTAAATACGAGTATAAAAGTTATTGGCCAACATGCTTTAAAATATTGACATATAAAATAAATTATTTGTTTTTGTTATTTTTTGGCCTTTATAACAATTATATTCAACAATTTATATTGAGCTCGAGGCCGTCTTAAATGAAAATTTTTATTGTGGAAAAGCAACAATAATTTGAAAAAATGGTAGAAGTGATTGCTATTTCGGAAATCACCACATTTCCTCATCAGACTTCTTTCAGTAGGATTCGAACCGACGATCCCACTGACTCAGCCAGTTGCCTATGCACCGTGCTAAGTACGCCTTGTAAATTATCGTTTGCTTTTTTCCACTATTTTCATTTTTGTTATGCCAACACAATCAAGCGCAGCTATTCCGCTGCAATTCACTTGATCATGTGGTTGTTGGTATTGTTGGTTTTTGCTAATAATTCTATTTTTAGAATGTTTAACTTTTAGGTGTGCTCGTCCTTAAGTTATTTGTTTTTGTTATTTTTTTGGCCTTTATAACAATTATATTCAACAATTTATATTGAGCTCGAGGCCGCTTTAAATGAAAATTTTTATTGTGGAAAAGTAACAATAATTTGAAAAAATGGTAGAAGTGCGTGCACACCTAAAAGCTAAACATTCTAAAAATAGAATTATTAGCAAAAAACCAACACTACCAACAACCACATGATCAAGTGAATTGCAGCGGAATAGCTGCGCTTGATTGTGTTGGCATAACAAAAATGAAAATAGTGGAAATAAGCAAAC